TCTGTGGTTCCCCGGTGGTGGAACAAGTTACTAAACTCTGCTGACTCCCTCTCAGTCTTTAAGAAAAGACTGAAGACCCAGCTCTTCACTGAACACCTTTGCACTTGACAGACTGAAAACAAACAAAAAAAACAACCAAAAAGGAAAATCCTATTACCTCCCTACCCTACCTCTAGATGGTTTTCTCCTGACTACATCCTTGCTTGTGTTGCATCTGCTCTCACATGTATGTCGCTTTGGATAAAAGCGTCTGCCAAATTAAAACTGTACAATTGTTGTCGAACCTCTGAGATCCAAAGAGTCTCAAAAAAAAGAAAATTATTGTATTAGCTGTGTTCAATTAATAGCGATATCGCTATAGTTGTGTTTCCATATATTGCTGCTTTGGAGCAAAACAAAGAATCTAAAAAGAACAATCAGGGGAAATGGACAACATTCAAGGTCTATATTTAATTTCCAAGTGTCTTGTTTTTGTTTTCAAATGCAAGTCAGTGGGGAAACCCTTATTCTGCTATTGCCTAATGCCTCACTCATGAATCATTAGCTGGCAGCAAAACGCCTGACATGCAAATATGGATTATCCAACACTCTCAGAGTTACAGACCTGTATTTTATCTTCCATCTGGATTCAAGGTCAAACTGACTCGTTTGTCTCCATCCACCACCTCCGCCACTCCCTGGGCGCTGCCTGCTATTTATCTACAACGGCAAATAATTTGTTTCTTATCAAACCGAGTGGGAGAGCGACGGAGGGAGCCTGAAGAGAAAGATTTTCTGAACGGGCAAACAACACAATGAGTCAATGTAAATATTGTTGGTTACTATGATGATGGAGAAAGGGCAAAGCTGAACTGAAATAACAAAACGGAAGACGGTTTTTAAAAGACAGCGAGAGAGAGAAATAAAAAGCCTGCAGCTTGAGGGGCAAAAAGAATCCCACAAGGTGACAAGAAACATAAAAAGGAGACATAACACAGGAGCAAAAGGCTGGAAGGAGGTGTGCCAAGAGGGTGAGGAAAATAATGAAACAGTAAAAGGAAGAATTATATAAGAGAAAACAGGAAAGAGCAGTAATAAAGGAAGGAAAAGTGGAAAAAATGTACGACGTAAGAAATGAGAAAGGTCTCAATCAGGGAAGGAAAAAAGGAAGGATTGTGTAAGAGAGAAAAAAAGAGTCCCAGTGTTTCTTTAATTTGAGATATTTTTAGTTGGAAAATCATTAAAGTAAATGAGATCAAGGGGATTGTGTGTGAGATTTGCCTAACTGTGTCAGGATCCATTTACATGATTCTCAAACTGGAAACAGCTTTTTTTAAAGTCATTAGACACCCTTAGTGAGAAGCAAAAAAGCGTTCAGTGCCTCCAACAAGCAGCTGCTGTTACTTGACTTCAGCTCTTTCTATTTTGGTTCAATAGCCTTTTTTCACCAGCTGCTCAGCAAAAACAAACTATGTATCACAGCGTGTCCTAGAAGTATACCTTTTAAATGTCTCCTGAGCCACACAGAGTTAAAGGACTGCACAGATCTGAACGCCTCCAGGGGTCAGTGGCTCATTTAAATATAGATAGACTAGACTTGAAGAGCAAAGAATACAAGACAAGATGAACAGATACTGCAAGGGATTTGGTGCCAATTTTCTTTTCCTGCTGAGCAATAAGAATCTGCTCTGAAGGATCCTCATCGGTCCTCTAAATCACCTCTAAAAAAAATAGCTGTATTGAATAGAACAATCCTCTTTCATGGCAGCATGAAGTGTCTTTAAACAAGGAGGGTTAGGAGCAGAAAGTAGGGGACAACTATTGACATTAAATCAGAAGAGTAATCAATAATATACAACATGGCTTGTTCCCTATGAGCCAAAAAAACCCCCACATCATCCAGAATTTTCCTACCCAAACTCGTTGCAACTAAAGCCTTGGCTTTAAATGCCCGTGTGCAGACTAGTGCAGTGAATTACTGCAGAGATCAGATAAAAAAAAAAAACTCTACTGCAGTCTGTAGCCATGAGATAGAGTGAAAGACAAAGAGAAAGGCAGCGTACTAGGGAGGGACAAAGAGAGACAAGTGATGAGAAGATCTAAGAGCAGAACAAAAGTGGCTTACCAAAACTGATGCTTATCCTTTTCTGTTGATATGAAGCATAACAACAGCTAAATCTGCCCATGGAGACATTTGGAGAGCGAGCACGCACACCGACACACCACACAGAAAATGTTTATACGGGCCAGCAGATTCATCCACAGTGAGGTTAGAAGAGCTGGCTGTGATTTCAAAGGCCCTGTTTTCAAGCCTCGGACCTGCTGTGAAAACTTGGATAGGGGAGATAAATGAGCATTTCAAGCGCACTTCAATAAATGTTTCAACCACCCATGCCAACACAGAAACATGTGGGTCAGCGTACAGCGTACATAATATCAGACTGCATTACATCTGCTGTGGTTATCCATGCAGACTACGTGATATTCTTTTTTGCCAACTTAATTTCAATAAATTATCGCCTTAGCCAGCAGTTGTCAGAGTAAGAACAGATAATGGCACGACTTAATAGAGAGAAAATTGGAAAACGGTGGGGTGCATACTGCAGTAATGTTAGGACGAGTCGTGTGCTACTGAACTCCTGCAGCTTTGAGTTTTCATTCTCCGTGTTCAGATATCGTTCCTCTGGCTGCAGTTATTACACAGCAACCGCACTCAAAAACCATCCTAAAGAACCCTTTATAAGAACACTTCAGAAGGGAAGCTGCCTCACATCATCAGGGCTACTTTCCGCATTGAAGTCACAGAACAACCTAACTTAACAAAAGTGGGTCATCACAAGTCGTCACGTGCCAAACTGAGATCTTTCTGATTATTTTCGTCAGACTGATATCGAGTTATATTCGCCTGGCTTGGCATGCAGAAGAGTGCTGCGGTATAACCGACAGCGATTCTGAAGTGTAGTCATACAGAAGTTCAACTCTAAATGGTTTCTCTTACAGAGTAAAAGAGCAAGAGTGGCTAAAGAAAGCAGTACTTTTTTTTTTTTCTTAAGGGGAAAGCACAACCTGCCGCAACCTGCTTCTGCATTTCTGATTCTCTTCCCTGTTGCACTCGTCTTCCTCTTCTTAGGCCACAATTACAACCCGTTCCCCCTCTCTCATCGTGTTTCCATTTTTGGTCTTCTCACCTCAAAGCATGTCCTTTCTAGGGACACAGAGAAGCATCCACTAGCAATACAGTACTGTGGCTCTGTGATGAACTTCAGTCCTCCCACAAATGTGCTAAAAAAGTGCAAATGTGGAGGGGAGACCAAAATAAAACTGGGCCGGCAGGTGAGCTGACAGGTAGAAGGAAGCAGAACGATCACATGCTGCGCGTCCTCATCTCAGTCCCATTAATGCCAAGATGCTGGGTACATCACAACCACAGAGGACATTTGCTTACACTTATACTGTTACAAATACTGGACATGTTGTTCATTTATGTCATAACTTGCAATTAATCTGTATAATTGCCATAATGGCAGAGCACTTTGGCCAGTATTTCTTGCATTTAAAGGTAGTAAACAGTGCAAGTTGTGGCCTTCGTGCCTGATCTAACAGCATTAATACTAACAAGGTCAGGGGTTTTCCTGGCTCAGAATGCAGGGTGACTACGCATGACAATAAGCATGAAGTAGACCCTGAGCTTGTGTTACCTCATTTGAGAAAAATACATACATTATTCTATTATTTCTGACCTTTTGATAAAGACAAATGTCAATTGTACTTGGGGCATTCCAAAAATTCCTCTAAGCGGGAAAAAACCTTAAAGGTAGGGGGTCTGATTCCCAAAAAAACCCGAAAAAAGCTCACATGACAAAACTATATGCTAGGACACACTATTAAAAGGCAATCCACAGTGTGTTTTAGTCTTTGCAGTACATTTGGATGCCACTGAATTCAAGAATGTTATGTTTATGGGCTAAATAATTTGAACATTTGCATAACAGCAGCAGCAGTGGCCTCAGAAAACCTGGTTTACACGAGTTAAAATGGGCAGAAAGCTAGAAAAAAAAGGGGAAGTCCAACTGCAGTGAGACTTCACAGAAACTCTTTCATCATTGCCTGTATTTCAGCACACCGTGGAAAATTACCCTTCACATTTAGACAATTTATCCCCTTGTAAAAACCACCGATTGCTTGCCTATATGAACCATGTCCTGAAGCGGGGAGCCATGAAACCACACAATAAAGCCTTTAGAGTCTCAGTCGATCCCTGTGCTTCCTGGCTGCGCACTTACAGCTGCATGGGCTCTTATCGAGATTTGCAGGTGGCTTCTTCCCCCTTTATTTATACACATCACGCACGCACACATTTTGCTGAGGCAAGGCTGGAAAGGGAAGTGAGACTGTGGCCTGAAACGACTGATAAAAGCTGTATTGAAGTTCTGAATTTTACTGATCAACTCAGCGGACGATGATTAAACTTCAACTATGAAATTCTACTTTAATTTCCAAAAGTAAGAGAATTATTTTCAGGAAAGAAGACCTTGATGATATATGATTTTAAGACTTATCACTGTAGTCAACGATATCATCTCATCCAAAAACCAGGTCTTTCTAATTTCTAACTAGTGTTCACAGAAGCTTCAAGACTTATTGATTTGAAACTTGACCTGCTTAAGAGCAAAAACAATCAAGTCTCAGGTAATTTCCCACAACAGTTAAAAATAAATGAGGCAACAACCTGGTGATGCATAACTAAATACAATGAATTTGTAATTACTATGCTTGTGTATGAATTTAAAAACAACAGCTCTGGAAGGAAAATCAGCACGTGCCATGTTATTTCATTGTTCAGCAAATGTGAAGACTTGTGACTCGACTTGGACTTGAAATTAGACTCAAAGGTTGTTTTGACAACACCTAAGACTTGATTTGGACTTGTGTTAACTGTTGAGTTGGACTTGACCCAAGACAGTTCTGAAAGTTTCCACCACCCATCCCTCTACCGTTCCTTCCATGTGCAGTTGACTGACCTGTCTGGCCAATCTGCGGGCCTCCCAGTAAGGCTTGGACTCCTCCACGGCCTTGCCAATCTTCTTCACCAGTTCATCCAGCTTCACTGTGGCCTCCACCAAAACCGAACGGAACTTCTGCCTCGCGTCCTGTTAAAAAGAAAGGGGAAAAAAAAGATTGAGTAATTCAGGTACATAAAAAAAGAAGGGATGGTGAGCAAAAACTGATAAATCCATCTCAAGTGCATCTTTGGTTTCTAAGCAAAATCAGTGCTCCGCCCCATGACTGTCAAAACAAGAACAGTAATGTTTAAGGACACGCCTAATTAATTTATGACCTCTTATCATGTAGATAAATTATCTTAAAAAAACTCCAAAATGTGTACACCAATGTGCAACTGGCCAAGTAATCAGCAGCATACTGTTTAGTGTGCAAACATACTCTACAATTCCTGCAAACTCTCAAACTCCTTGGAGTGAAAGGACTGCAATTGAAAAGAGCCACCAGATACATCTTAGAGGCCGCAGACAGGGCACTCGCGGTGGCTGTGGATTCGTCGGGGGGATCCGTGGAAACAACATGCCATTTGGACACAAGCCGGGAACTGATCACCCCCGGCTGGGTCGCCCGGGTGAGGGTGTATGATGATTAAAGACCGGAAATACCCTATGAGCCCGGGTACTTCACTGATGACGTGTCCAAGCAGCACCAGAAGGTGAACTGAAACTCAAACTCTACAATTCCTCTGATGGGGGTTTGATGGCTTTTCTCTGCCGAAACCCAAACACTGAATACTTTTCTACCTTCAAGTTACACAACAACTTCAGTTCTCTGCCAAAACTCCACTTAGTGAAAACGAAGTGTTTCACTATCATAAATGGAGTCACTTATGAAAAGCATTTAAGATAAAATAAAAAAAAGGCAGTTGACTCAAGGACGAGACAGCCATCGATTTCATTGACAGCTTGGTGGTAATGGATCAAATCAGATGGTATCCACCTTAACTACTGTCACTGAACTTGTGCAGCATGTAGGAAGTATAGCTTTTGAACACACTTTTTTGACAGGGTGTTGCAGCTCCTGACCCCTGACCTCAATTCTACTCACAGCTTGTGAAGTTGTTAGTTGAGGAAATGAAACTTACTATTGCTACCACTGCTACGAGTCAGAGCCAGGAAGGACTAAAGCACGTAAAACTCACAGACGCCAATGTAAAACTGCAAAAAAATTAGGTTTAATAATGCATAAGAAGCATTAACTCCCAACCTTTATTTCATCTTGGTCAAGTGCTCACATAATGTTTCAGTTGACGGTTTTCCTGAAAACAAGTCTGTCTAAAAAAAAACCCCTCAAAAAACAGACCAAAGCCAATCCGATGAGAGCGGTCTGTAAAAAAAAAAGCCAGATAAAATGTTGTTAAGTGGAAAAGAAGCAAGCTGTTTGTGCCATATTTTGTAGGGAGTCTGTTTGTCTGGTGTTTGTCATGAGGGATTTCTCAGGCAATCGTCTCTGAAATGACGTCACGGTCGTCTAACTGGCATGAGTGGCGCAGAAGCTACTAAGAACATGATCAAAAGGACAAACAAGCAGAAAAACAGGTCAGAAATTTTACAGCGGCACACAAGAGGCACTCTCTTGAGGAAACAGGGATGAGGTCAAAGGACTTCCTACCGATTACATCTCTGACCTGCTTTGAAGGTTACCAAGGCACTGTTGAGTAAACAAGATATTTTTTAATCAAATCCGAGACCTGAGCTTTTCCACCATGGTTCAGACAAACATCTTTTCTTACTAACTTTACAAACAACATTTAAGCACTGACATGCTGACACAAACATCAGCATGTTTTCAGATGTCTAAATCACACCTCCACATCCCTTAGAAGTCCACGTTGCTCACAATTTTGCAACTACATTCAATGAAGGCTGCTGAAAAGTGTTTGGACTTAAAAATGTCAAAATGAGCAAAAGGAATTGATGTTGTGGTACAAATTGTTGCATGCTTGTGGAAAATTTGGCAAAAACAGGCTGCATGGCTACTAGCTCATATCTGCATCTGAATATTGAAAATCAATGCTACTCTTGTTAGAACATCGTACAATAACCTCTCACAGCTTCAAACTTCCTTTATCCTTACGATCACGTTGACAGATGAGCACGTGTGTTTTGTTTGTTGTGCAACGTATAGTCACAGATATTTTGGTCTAAAAGCCACAACAGTCCACAAAGTCACACATATGTTGAACTTCCCCAAAATGTGCTCCGCATTCTACATTTGCATTAAAAGCACGTTTGTTTCTTTAACCAACAGTTGCTTAATATTAAAGTAGAACAAAGGTTTGTCAAACATCTGGGTTACTGGGTCTGATGTAATTTGAAGCTTATCCACATCAAATGTTGTGGAGGATGAAAGCAATTCCCGAGAGAAAATGAATTCATGTTGGAAAGTCCAATTCACGACATGTCCCATTACGGTCATTTGTGTTTGTCTCACTAATTATTGTAAGATATGACCAGACATTAGAAAGTTTGCTTGATTAGGCCATTACCCTGAAGAGCAACGTTAACCAGGCACATGGCAGCCCGGTCAAGCTTTGAATTTCTCCACATGCTGAAGACATACACAACATTGAATTTCCCTTCTGGGATAAATAAAGTATTTTTCATTTCATTTTTCATGAGAGGCACAAAGCCTTTTCATCCTCTCCTAAACCCAAAGCCCAGTTAACTAGTTGTATACAGTGTTAAAATGACATTACTTCCAAGGCCAAAGGTTAGCATACATGTAACATTAGCTGACTACATCATTAGAAGGGGATACAGATTGTGTTTGCTGGATTTGGGAAATTTCAGTTGCGATTATTTTGCCAAACTCATCAGTGTGTCCTCAGATTCTTATTGTTTCAAAATACCACAAGTCCAACTTTTGTGTTTGGCATGTCTGTATAAATACAGGAAATGGGTAAGACTGAAATAACCACAGCACGGACTTTGCATGGATCCATGTGTGTAGCCACCAAATGCATATTTAATGCCTGCAATAGCTACAAATGCAGAAATCAAGTGATTCTGACTGTACTGCATCAATAACGGTGTCATCAAACTGATTAGACTACCTAGAAGGTCTCGAGGGTCTGCCACAGTCTTAGCCGTTAGATCAGGGAGCTGAAACCAAAATTAGTTTGCCTTCATGCGCGTCTAAATTTGATCTCGACTTTGATTGTATCCTGCCCTCCAGGCTCATAGACATTCTATTCTCATCCCTAAGTTGACTGTTAGCCCCCGGCTGTTCTGTCAAACTGATGTTTAATCCTCCATCGACTCTTCTCCTCTACATCCTTCCATGAATAAGCTCCTCTGTTCCATCCATTCATCTGCTATTGACCTTTAAATCACTCACCACTGGCCGCTTTTCTACATCAAAAGACACCAACTGACGCAGTAACACTGTATTGACAAAAACCTTTATCCTTCCAACGTCACTGTATGAGTAAAGCAGAGTTGGTCAGCCACTCCATCACTTTGGTCCTCACTTAACTGTCAGGAAAGTTATAAATCACAATGACTTTGATGACCTCTGGACTTTGGGGCCACTACAAGGATGACATTTGTGTTTTTAAGTATCTCAACAAACTGAACAGACTGCCATGACCTTTAAAGACATTTATCCCAGGGCTGCATTTACAATTAGTTTCAATATTTTCTAATTCGCTGATAACTGTTTGATTAATTTTCCTGTCTTCCCAGGCTAAATCCCAAAGATATTTTGTTCACACAGATATACTTAAACTAGATAAACTGAAAAAAACCCAAAAAAATCGTCACATTTGAGAGCTAGAACCAGTGAATGTTCTGCTTGATTGCATGATGAATGATTCAAATTATTTGCCAGTTATCTAAATTATTGTCAATTACTGTTCTGCTCATCAACTTGCCAGCACTAAAAATACCTCGGAGACACAAATGAGGAACCAAGCGATTTACAGTACATTCATTTTGGCTGTGTGCACTGGATCTCAAGTGAAACAGTGACTAACTACGTGAGGTTAAAGTGCTGACTTTCAACTTTAATGGAAGGAAGGAATTGTGACCCTTCTAACCTCTGGCCACTCTAAAAAAAAAAAAAAAAAGGGAACACCGTTTCCACACAGTTTGTCGGATGTGGGTTTAAACAACACCCTCAAGTTAAAGTTCAAAGTCAGCACTACCACCTCATCGTCATTGTTTCATTTCCACCCAAATGTGTTGGAGGGCAGAGCCGCCACACGGCTGTCCAGACAGACTCCACTGTGAGCAACACATGAAACAAAGCACAGACAATAAAACGACACAGCAAACAATTATTCAGCAAAGGCTTGAACAAATACTCTTGTCTTTATTGCCTCTCTGTCCTTTCCTCTGTGTCTCACTTTTGGACTGATGCTGATGCAGACTGCAGTGCAGGGTCCTCGTCCTCTCACTCAGGGCTTGAACGCTGACACTGTGACGCACTTCAGCCTGAACACGTTTATGCTCGGAGGCATTATGTCTGCTCCTTGTGGTTATTAGCAATCTAAATATCATTTGGATCACTGCTGTGAAGGTGCGTCATCTTCTTCACATCAGGGGTCATTATTGCTCCAATCACTGTCTCTTTATTCATCTAATCAGCAGTATGAATGTTTTACATCATAGCCTCTTTCGGTCAAACAACAACATGATTGTGCACCGCTTACTGTGACAATTCAAATAAATAATAACACATTTTATTCAAAAAACATGATTGTGTCCCGACTGCTGATAACAAGAGTGAAAGGCAGCATCACTTTAGGCCTTTCCAAAGCTAACACTGCACTGCTGGATTTAAAGCTTATAGTTCTGAACAGGATGTCTTCCCCAGACATGAAAACAACCTTAACTGAAAGGGCAGAAATATGAATTAGTCAAAGTTGAACAATCAACACTGTGGGCGGGGATCTGACCGCGTTCTGCAGAACACACTGTTCACATTAACATAATGAAGGGTTGAAAAGACTGTACTCACAGCAAACTACTGATTAAGATTCTATGTCTGAAAAGATTAATTAATGAAGGTCTTAATAAGAACAACACAATAGTTATTGCAGCTATTGCACTGTGGACCAAAGTGGGGGAACAAGTTACAAACCGGCTTTGCCATCCACTCACTAATGCCTGCTTCAAACAGCACTGGTTAACAGAAAATAAATGTACTGAAAGATGAACCTATGCCACCTTGTTAGCACATTAAATCTAACGTCAGAAGTCTCTTAAATTTACTTCTCTAGTGGTCTTATTTGCTAAGAACAATATTGGATTCTCATCACTCACAACCCTACAGACATCTATGCCATCTGGTAAGTCTCACTCCCTGACAGTAAGCTGGGCTAAAGATGGTCAGTAGAGGAAAAGACACACCACACTTTAAGTTTTTGTAGTTTCACAGTGTGGTCTAACTGAGCACAATGCACCAGTTGCAGGACAAACTTCCAGTCTTTGAATCAGAGCCTTGACTATTTAAATGGAGCAGACCAATGTGTAAAAGTCAGGAGGTTACAGTTGATATTTGCAACTCCTGCTCATCATCTGCACAACGCCAAACTGCCACTCAGCTGAAGTGTATTGTGGTTTCAGTCAATAAAACAGAAACATCTTCTTTTTTTTTTTACAACTAAACTCCTCACTGTACAATTTCTATACTCTGAAGTGCAACAAGACTTTGGACTTTCACCTCCATAAATCTGCAGGATACTTTGCCGACCTACATAAATGTAAGCCATCAGCTTTTACTGCGTTTTAAAGGGATTCAAAGATCAGTTATGACACTTCAGTACCCTTAATGGCCCAAGTGAGCATCTTGTCTCCGCTTCTGTTTTAGCCACAAACTCAGGTTTCCAGGTCACTGAATACAGCGGTCAGTAAAAAATAAATAAAAAAATCTCTTTAAATGTTGGAATTAGTTTATTGTAACATAATAAAGCATGTCCCTATTTCTCACAAAACAAGTTACACGCCAACTCCTTGTATGTTGAAATGTGCTGAAATGTGCTGACAAGAAAAAAAAATGTGAGCTTGACAAACAATTTGGCCTAGAGACAGAGCAAAGGTCCAGCTGTAATTCAGTTTAAAAAAAACGCTGCATCTGCACACAGTGATAGAAAATAAAACAACACCTCTCTTGAGAGCCAAACTGACAGGTGGATCTCACAAGCTGTCAGTCAACACTTTATCTGAGCAGGGGTTAGCGGTGAAGTCTGCACGCACGACTACATGCTCTACCAGCCAGAAACAAGCACGATGTAAAGACATTTAATGCTCCGTGTGCATCGACAGACAGACTGACCTCGAGCTCTGTCTCACATCTGTTGATGTCGTCGGTGGACTGGTTGAGTTTCTCCAGCTCCCCCTGGAAGACAGGGAACAACAGAGGGATGAAGTGAATTAAAGAGGAGGAGGGGAAATGTATGCAATGTGATATCTGAAAGCATAGGAGAGGGAACCAGCAAACATCTGGAATGAATTACAAAAAGACTGTGAGGCAGCTATCTAAAATGTTGCCTATGGATTTGGACAACTGGAGATTGTGTCACGATATGACATTAAATAAATGCTTTTTTCTTACATTACCGAACTCTTCTTTAATCTTTACTGTTACAAATTCATCATCTCAGTTATAGTTGAAAAAATAAGCCAACTAAACTCTTAATAATACATGACAATTAAGTTTCTTTAAATAACTTTCTTTTTAGGGATACACTGATTTGAAATGCTGTCACCTGATAAGCATTCTTAAACCTCAAATCAGGGGCTCTGCAGATACAAACGTGAAGTCTCGCTGTGGAGAACTCACTGGTGTGACTGTTATGTAATGAGGACAAAGGTTGCTGCAGCACTAAATCCAGAGTCACAACAAAGTCAATACCAGCCCAGTCCTCACGCCTTTTAATGAATTCTCAATGAAAAACAAGCAAAGGAGAAAAACTGCAAATTGAACATCCACCCATCCATCATCTACACACCACTTAATCCTCACTGGGGTCGCGGGGGGCTGGAGTCTATCCCAGGAATGATTAATTAGCTCTGGTTACTAACTTGGGGATTAGACGCACGACATGGGATATCAACATAAACCAAAGTAATCACAAGATGAGTGAAAGGAAATACACGTCTCCTGGCTAAAACCACCTGTGTTTGGCTCTGATCTTTGTTTCCTGTGAATTACTCAACCAACAAATCAACTGTCACTCTTTTTGTTGAAGTGAGCGTAACCAATCGACAAATGCAACCAGCGATGGGAGGCACAAGAACATGCATTTTAAAAGATCACAAGGAAAAAATGATCAAGAACCCCTCAACTATTCTATACGATAGAAAGAAGTGCCAGTTTTCTAGACTCCTCGCTGTCTTAACTCACTAATCAGGCAAAGCTGACATGAATATTCATCACAAACTAAAAGCACAGTAACACCAGTGAGCATTACATCTCTGTTATTTTAAGCTTAAATCATCTTTTGTTGTCTTATGTGGTAGTAAACTGAGCTTCAGCTCTGAGAAACTACAGATGTTAGTTATTATTTTCTAACCATTTTAGTCTAAATAAACTCATTTTAATTCATATTGCCTGCATCTGCTTGTGTGACAGACTTTGTAAATGCTTTAAAAAAATCTCTGTATTAAAATAAATCACTTATTCTTTGACATTAGGGGTAAAAAGAGCAGAATTTGACTTCTATGACTGGCTGTTTTCCTTTGCTTTAACCCCATAATTTAGCCTCTGTTGGAATTACATCAGCATGAACTGGTTTGGCATCAGTCTTGTATTAGCAGCTATCTTCACTGGACTGTCACAGCTGTGGGGGTTATTTCAGATTTTAAAAACAGCTAAAGTTTAATATCACTTCTATCTCCAACAAAGAAATTAGCTTCTCACTAGATCCAGCGGCTGCATCATGCTAGGACTCTGCCGTTAGCTCCAGCGGTGTACACACGGACTACAATGAACCTTTACCGAATAATAAAAAAAAACACTAAATAAAGCAGCGAAAGTAGAAATATATCACCTGAATTCTGGGGTCCACCTCCTCGTCTTCATATTCAGCCTCGTCGTCCGACCGGTGCTCCTTCTCTAAGCGCTCCATGTCGCGGGGTTGAAGGGGAGAAGAAGCCGCACAAAGCCGAACAAAGACAGCCGTTACCTACAGCCGCTGACACCGCAGGTTCATCGGTCTCAGCCGCGAGCCGGACTCACCGCAGCAACCCGTCCCTCCTCCTCCTCCTCCTCCGACCGAAACGATTCGATTCAAAACGAGCGCTTTTCGAAGAGGAACATCCCGGCTGGTATCCACTTGTCCGCGGCAGCAGCGTAACTCTCTCCCTCGGCTCTCTCCGCGCACTGAGCCTCGCAGCTGTACTGACCCAAAGCTCTGCCTGTGCTTCCGCCCGGGACCCGCCCCCTTCTGCGGGGCTGTGGAGGCGGTATGAGGGGCGCTTAGTGCCGCCACAC